TTTGGCAGGGGGTGTAATCGAGCATGCTGATCACCCCCACGGGGGTGATCAGCATGCTCGACTATCCCCCTGTGCGGTGCCACTCAGCTTTCCTCGTCTCCTTTCTCTTGTGTACTGTACCGTGTCTCTTGGGTTGTTTAACTAGTTCGAGGCCTTGTGGATCCTGTTCGTGTAATGGCTGCAAATTCATCAGCCTTCCCGATACTTCCCTATATTTGAATTCTGCGCACATTTTTCTTCAAAAAAAAATCCCTCATCTGTCCGAGTCGCTCCATATAACAGGAATTAAAATTAGCTTTGAAGCTCTCTGAAGTGACGTAGAACTCATTCAGAAAGGTCACATCGACTAAAAACACTACCCTTGGAAGAGTAGAGTCTACTGAGGCGCATATGCAAAGGCTACTGCATGAGAAGGCGCAGAAGCAGTATTAGTTGAGCGGGCGTGAACGCGGCGCGCGCGTACAGTCTGCCCGCATCGGATTAGGCCAAATTGTCGGCTGCGCGCTCGCAGCGCTAGAGGTTTGCGCTGCATACGGCATTGTCGCAGAGAGCGAAGAGATTGAGGAGAAAGCAAACCAGCTAGCCATAGACGTGACGCAATACCCTCGCGACACGGACTCCCGCCATGCCAATATTGGCCTAGTTGGCATTGGGGCAGACTGTGTAGTAGATTTCCTCGCTATAGGCGGAAATTGTACTGGCGGAAGTCCGCTACGCAACGATTCGCGCCGCTTTGCGGTTTGCGTCTCTTCATTCTAGACTATCTCGCTGAGCCAGTGGCGGTGCGGAAACGCTGCTCCACTTGGAATGTTTCGCCTACTCCGGGCTGGAAAAGACTTTACCTTCACAGGTGCTTTTGACCACTCGGCAACCACTGTTTCCAAAGATTTTAGCAAGCCATTTTCGAATGGGTCTACTAAAGACAATACGCAGTACGATAGGTGCTTGCCTGAGCAGGGGGAGCGGTTAGCGAGCAGGTACCAGTAGTAATCGCGGAGAAGAGTGGGGGGGGGGTGGTTGGGGAATCCGCTACGACTTGGAAATATCTCCGGGATGCTTTCCAAGATTTTTACGGCGTAACATCGAAATCTCTGAAAAACAAAGTCTTTTACAAAAATAATTTTTTGACAAATCAAAAAAGTGGCAAACCAAAAACTCAAAACTTTTGTTTCGCTGCGACTTCAGCCAGAAAAATTGCCAAGCAGATCACGAAATGGTGACATTTCGCACGGTAAGGCCTTTCCAGGATTACGGTAACCACGAAGGAAATGAGCCAGTTAAATCGTTGTAACTTTATATGAAACTAGCTGGCTTACCCGGCTCCGCCGTATCCGGACCAAACTTGGCACACATACACTTCGGGCCCCGGCGGGTGTCACAGTCCACTTTTCGTTATCGATCGATGTCGATTTTACCGATTTTTATCGATTTTTTTGCAGAGTTCACCTACAGAGCTAGGAGTTGGCACAGGGGGGAAGTGAGCATGGGGATTCCGAATACAATATTAGTTTTCAGAATTATCGATTACTTTTATTGATTTTATCGATTTTTTGTAAATTTTGACATGCGAGGCTGGGATTTTGCACAGGGGGGTAATCGAGCATGCTGATTACGAACACAATATTAGTTTTCAGGATCGTCCATTACTTTTATCGATTTTATCGACTTTTTTTGTAAAGTTTGACCTGCGGGGCTGGGAGTTTGCACAGGGGGGTAATCGAGCATGCTGATTACGAATACAATATTAGTTTTCAAGATCGTCCATTACTTTTATCGATGTTACGATTTTTTGAAAATTTGAGCTAGGGGGCTGGAATTTGGCAGGGGGGTGTAATCGAGCATGCTGATCACCCCCCTTGGGGATGATCAGCATGCTCGATTACCCCCCTGTGCCAACTCCCAGCCCCCTAGCTCAAACTTTGCAAAAAAATCGATAAAATCGATAAAAGTAATCGATAATCCTAGAAACCAATACTGTATTCGGAATCCCCATGCTCGATTACCCCCCTGTGCCAACTCCCAGCCCCGTAGCTCAAACTTTGCAAAAAAATCGATAAAATCGATAAAAGTAACCGATAATCCTGAAAACCGATTTTGTATTCGGAATCCCCATGCTCGATTACCCCCCTGTGCCAACTCCCAGCCCCGTAGGTGAACTCAGCAAAAAAATCGATAAAAATCGATAAAATCGATATCGATCGATGACGAAAAGTAGCCTATGACACCCGCCGGGGCCCGTAGTGTATGTGTGCCAAGTTTGGTCCGGATCGGTTCAGAAATGGAATTTTCTATTCGGAACATACGTACAGACAGACAGACAGACATACAGACAGACATACAAACAGACATTCAGCTTTATATATAAGACTAGCTGGCTTACCCGGCTCCGCCGTATCCGGACCAAACTTGGCACACATACACTTCGGGCCCCGGCGGGTGTCACAGTCCACTTTTCGTTATCGATCGATGTCGATTTTACCGATTTTTATCGATTTTTTTGCAGAGTTCACCTACAGAGCTAGGAGTTGGCACAGGGGGGAAGTGAGCATGGGGATTCCGAATACAATATTAGTTTTCAGAATTATCGATTACTTTTATTGATTTTATCGATTTTTTGTAAATTTTGACATGCGAGGCTGGGATTTTGCACAGGGGGGTAATCGAGCATGCTGATTACGAACACAATATTAGTTTTCAGGATCGTCCATTACTTTTATCGATTTTATCGACTTTTTTTGTAAAGTTTGACCTGCGGGGCTGGGAGTTTGCACAGGGGGGTAATCGAGCATGCTGATTACGAATACAATATTAGTTTTCAAGATCGTCCATTACTTTTATCGATGTTACGATTTTTTGAAAATTTGAGCTAGGGGGCTGGAATTTGGCAGGGGGGTGTAATCGAGCATGCTGATCACCCCCCTTGGGGATGATCAGCATGCTCGATTACCCCCCTGTGCCAACTCCCAGCCCCCTAGCTCAAACTTTGCAAAAAAATCGATAAAATCGATAAAAGTAATCGATGATCCCGAAAACCAATATTGTATTCGGAATCCCCATGCTCGATTACCCCCCTGTGCGAACTCCCAGCCCCGTAGCTCAAACTTTGCAAAAAATCGATAAAATCGATAAAAGTAATCGATAATCCTAAAAACCAATACTGTATTCGGAATCCCCATGCTCGATTACCTCCCTGTGCCAACTCCCAGCCCCGTAGCTCAAACTTTGCAAAAAAATCGATAAAATCGATAAAAGTAACCGATAATCCTGAAAACCAATTTTGTATTCGGAATCCCCATGCTCGATTACCCCCCTGTGCCAACTCCCAGCCCCGTAGGTGAACTCAGCAAAAAAATCGATAAAAATCGATAAAATCGATATCGATCGATGACGAAAAGTAGCCTATGACACCCGCCGGGGCCCGTAGTGTATGTGTGCCAAGTTTGGTCCGGATCGGTTCAGAAATGGAATTTTCTATTCGGAACATACGTACAGACAGACAGACAGACATACAGACAGACATACAAACAGACATTCAGCTTTATATATAAGATGATTACATGCTGATCATAACTGTGCCATGCCTTACCATAAAACCTTCTAATGGGATTGCAGTGGGTGCATCGAATGGACAACCTTCACACAAGAAGCTTTATTTCAACGAGCGGATACCATATGTGTGAAGCGTGTTAAATGACCCCTCTGTCATGTCACAACAAATTGTGGGATGTATCTTGTAGACGTTATAATTTTGTATAATTCCTAGTACGACTAACATCATTTTTGTAATAAGCATGACAAAAACTTTGAGCGAGTTGCACCGAATCTAAAATTTTGAGCTTTTGGGCTACTTAACATACTTTCACAAAAAAAAACAAGTAATTTGCAGAGTTTCATAGTGATGTAGACCACTTTCAAATACTTCACAATTCATCCCCCCCCCCTCCCCCAAAGTCTACTGCCGATAAATATAGTTGATTCGTTGACCGCACGGACTGGAATCACTGCAGAGCACGCCCCGCGAGATAAAACGCTTGCCCCAGTACAAATCCGCCATTGTACAAGTCGTGCTCTCGTGACAATTCAGCCGTGTCGTGCATGGGCCGCAGCGTTTGAGCAGTCCGTGCGGTCAACGAATCGACAATACGTTTTTGCGAAGCTTGCGGTGCGCAGATCCGAGGACGTAGCCTTCACTAATCCACCACCCTCGGATGTGCTAGTCAGGCAAATGTGAAAATGGCTCAAAGGTAGTATCTTGCAAATACACAATTTTCACCCCGTTTCTGGGCGCTCCGCTGCATCCGAAAATCTACCTCCGAGACAATGAGCAAGCTTTTCGAGAAACTCTATTTTGTTGGGAGAGTGAAATAACCCTCATCAAGGCTTAGGAAAATCACGTGTGGGCGAAACTTTCCCCTTAAGCATTGAATTCTCACCACTCTCAACCTTGCTACGACACTACCTCCAAATGGATATTACTCATCTTGAGTTATATTTCATTTGCGGATATCATGAAATTCAACTTGTGTACTAGTTAGCATGGTAGAGCTGTTAAGGAACTGTATAGCGTATGGGCCTACTCAGCTTCCGGAAGTTCAAGCGACCGACGATCATGATTACAATTTTGTAAATATCAGGTGTCACTGTGTCCTTTTGATATGATATTTTGTGTAATTTGAAGATTGAGGTAGGCTCACTATATTAAAATTATTGGGCCATTCCATCAACTACTTTTCTAAAAAAATGTAGTAACCACAATCTTCTTTCTAACAGCGTTGCATCATTGGCAGAATTCTCAAAGGCAAAGCTGATGTGGGGACTTGGACGTTTCTTTGCGTGAAAGCAATCCCCCCCCCCATGCACACCTTTTCTAGAAACAGAGCTCATCAGCCATGATAGATTTGCCAAGTAGAACAACCCTTTATCTCAGAACTATCCAGCCTGAACTTAGAGAGAATGCGCGAACGAGGACCCTTCTAACAATCTGATATACAGAAACTCACTTTGCGATCCATAACAATGCACTCGCATCCAGCCGGATGACGTCTGGTGATGGAAGTTTAGATATTTTGATGGCCCGATTCTCAAAGACTACAAGAGACAGGCACTCTCTCTGCTACCTCTTGGGTAGTACAAACCTAGTAAGGCTGACCTCATAGGATGCACACACACTACAAATGCAGGAAAGAAATTGGAATAGGAACGACTCCAGTGATAACACAAAGGCCTTCAATCCTCACTACGAGAAGCAAAGGACCGTTGCGAAGAGAAAAAACTCAACCAACTCAGAAGGCGAAAACCGCTTCACATTCAACTGACTTGACCACTGCACTACTTTTATTCTTATACTTACGTTGCTAAATCTACTCGCAAGCGGCTAATTACACGCGTCGCGTCTTGTTTACGTGCGGATGGTCAGCCGCGTGGCCATCGATCCGCGCAAAAGCTGTTTGCACGCCTCCTCAGCGGTCCCTAAAATTCATCCGCGACTTCGATGAATCACTTCTATTATTTTGGAAAATTTTGCCGATATTCGGTTGTGGAACCCGAGGTTCTACAAGGCCTTATTCTTACATTTCTAACAACTTTTACATTCTGACACAAAATCTTTTCAAAACCTAGAGCGCGCGCTCATCGTCGTTTTGGCGTGCATGTCGATGAAACTACTTGGAGTAGGCGGAGTTTGGAGCGTCGCTTGCCCCTGTATTCATCCGCCGCTTATTCCTCGAAGCGCCATCCATTTTCCATACTCTTTGATAGAGGATCTGCACTCGCTTCGATATCTGCATGAAACAACCCCGTATCGGTGGAAACTCGGGCAATTTTGTTGCGAAGTTTCGGACGTAGCTCATTCTTCCGGCCCGCTCTTCCCTCGCTTACCCATGACGTTGCCATCCGAGCATTGACATGGCAGTGTCAGTCTTGAATGTCCCTGCTTTCGACTTGCCGTCTCTTTATTTCGCGTGTAACTCTGATTTATTGACTCTGTATAGTGTGGAGTGTTTTAGTATAGTTTGCGTTCTGAAAAGGTTGATTTTAGTAACTGTCCTATCAAGCTAACAGTAAATAAACATGGCCGACAACAAGGATGAACTCGTGCAGAGAGCCAAGCTTGCTGAGCAGGTAAATCTAGAATTTCATGGTTTAATTGATGGTCGTCTTTGCTACTGCTCTTCCGCTCAGTTTTTGGATTCAGGCAGAGCGATACGACGATATGGCTCAGTCCATGAAAAAGGTTACCGAACTGGGTGCAGAACTTTCGAATGAAGAGCGCAATCTCCTTTCTGTTGCCTACAAAAATGTCGTTGGAGCTCGCCGCTCGAGTTGGAGGGTTATCTCATCGATTGAGCAGAAAACTGAAGGATCTGAGAAGAAACAACAAATGGCCAAGGAATATCGCGAGAAGGTTGAAAAGGAGCTCCGTGACATCTGCCAGGATGTACTTGTGAGTGTAGTTCCATTTTATACGTCTGCATGCGTGCTGTAGTGAAAATCAGCATTTCAGAACTTGTTGGATAAATTCCTCATTCCCAAAGCTGGTAATCCCGAATCGAAGGTATTTTATCTGAAAATGAAGGGGGACTACTACAGATATCTGGCCGAGGTCGCCTCCGGAGAAGATAGAAGTTGTGAGTATTTCTATGTGTGTCAACAGTGTGTCGTGTTGAATATCTCACCAAAACCTTTGCAGTGGAGATTGTTTCATTTGACTGCTGTTTTAACATGCCTGTTAGAATTTGAACACTTCTTCCAATCCAATATCTAACTGTTCAACCCTCGATCACATGCTCATTTCAATTCTGCCATCTCATATAGGTAAATTGATGTGATGTAGGATGCTCATCTATCATATCTGCTAAGTTTGCAACAAAATCAAGAGAAATCTTGTACATTTGCGTGAAAGTGCTGCTGAAAGTCCATCCGTTTCCAATGTCATTTCGCCCTCGCGAGTAGCATTTTTTGTGCATTCTGACTTCAAAGATCTCATATCAAATTATACTTCTTATACGACATCCTCGTAAATCTCCGCTCTTAGTAAATCAATAGTATGCAGTGTTATATAGAATGATATATGAGAGAAGTAAGAAAATTAGCTGTTTGGCTCGATTTTTGTTTTAGTTTGAATGTATTGCGGTAGGAGCTAGGTAATTGCTGCAGTCAAGCAAGAATCGTGTGTTTGATTTCGAGGAGTTGCGGTGCTACTTGCCAATTTTTAGATGCTTGTGGACCTCAGAGGTGTTTGTGTAGTGAGAAGCGTGGTATTTCAAAATGGGTGGTCGTGGCTTTCTTCTTTGTTTCCTAACCGGATAACAGCATAGTTTGACAAGAAGCGAAACAGCCGCGGCGGATGGTCGCGTTTGGGATTTGGTAAAATATACTTTGGGGGAATGTCTTTGTTGAGCACTGTCCTTGGTTAATACGTCGTTACTCTTGCGATTGCAGCGGTTGTCGACAAGTCGCAGCAGTCATACCAGGAGGCGTTCGACATCGCCAAGGACAAGATGCAGCCCACTCACCCCATCCGCCTTGGCCTCGCTCTCAATTTCTCGGTGTTCTACTACGAGATCTTGAATGCACCCGATAAGGCTTGTCAGTTGGCGAAGCAGGTGAATTCCTTTTGAATTTCTAGCGGTGGCGAGTGTCGGGCAGAGCAGCTACTCTGAAGCGCTCGAGATTGCGAAAGAAAATTTGGCCACTACTCATCCCGCACGCCTTGGTCTTGCATTGAACTACTCGGTCTTTTTCTATGAAATAGCTTCAAGCCCTGATAGGGCTTGTCAACTCGCCAAGCAGGTGTTCTGTCTTAGATGTCTCTTTTGTTTCTGTAGAATTATCTGGTATTTTTTGAGGCATTCGATGATGCTATCGCTGAGCTTGATACCTTGAACGAAGACTCGTACAAGGACTCCACGCTCATCATGCAACTCCTGAGGGACAACCTCACCCTGTGGACTTCCGATGCTGCTGCCGACGATCAAGACGCAGGAGAGCAAGGAGAGGGTGCCAATTAAACCCATATGATCTGATCCGTTTTAATCATTGTAAGATGAAGATTTGTATAGAGTAATGTTCTACTCTAGCTGAACTATATTTATATCGTCAAGTGATGTGGTTGCCTGTTTTGCTTGTTCAAGTCTGTCAGTAGGCTGACATAAGCAGCGCATAGGAAATCACGCGTCCTTCAGTTAACTGATGTTGTTTTCCAGCTTTGTTTCCATTTTGAAGAGGTATTCTCAGTGTTCGATCATAACTGATAATGTTAATGCCAGCGTGCAATTCGTGAGTTCGTGACCTCTGCTGTCTTTTTTACTATGGTTGTAATAAAGTGCAGCAGTATCAGGTAGAAACGGAACATGTTATGTGGAAATATTCAAACAAAAACTTTCGCTCATTTTAACACTGCGATGGAAACTACAGCGATAATTACTTGGTAACACAATTACTATCGATGTGCCGAGCAATGCTTTGCGCCGGCACTATTGATCGGTGCGGCAGGGGAATATTAACGAGCATATTGAGGGAGTGTGAGTGTCAGGACAGCCTTGAGGTGTGGTGATACCTTCATAAATTGCAATGCAACAAATGGTGATGTGTGCGCAGGACTTAGTGAACTTTAAGTGTGAGAAACCATGTGGCCTAAAAATGCAAATTTGGGTAATGTCTGTGTTTGCGTCTTTGAATCCTTTGTATGTTGCTGAGCGGTACATTACCTTTAGATCTTCGATCTTGTAAACATGTCCATCATGAGTGGTTGTATTACAAGTGGCAGGACCTTTAATACATACGTATATGTCGCTGAGTGTCAGCGACCTTCTGACAAAAGAAGCATACTTGGTGATGGCCATTTGTGCGGTAGTAGGGACAAGTTGTGTGAACTCAAAGGGCTATGCCAGGCGAAGGCACAAAAGCTAGGGGGGGGGGGGGTGCGAAGACGATTTGATTAGCCGCAGAGCGCATGAGGCGCAAGGTTAAGGACGGTAAAGATACGTGCGGGCGGTGCTCGCTTAAAATATTGCTTTTGCGCCTTCATCCGACAGTAGCCTTTAAATGTCCGTGCTCTATCGCTAACATACACGAATTGTTCTCGCGATAAAGAATGAACGGTTTTGTTGTTCTCAAGAATGCAGTGTGTTTTTATGGAAAAGTAGCTAGAGAAATTAATGTTAGCACCTAATGTAGGTGCTCGCTAACTGTTTTCTGCGACAAGCTGGCTTGGAGACAAAACGTTCCCCGTGGGCTCAGTGTGCAAGGCAAAGCGCTGGCAAATAGCTTTAAACAGCCTATGCGTATCATGCTTTCGCAGATGTCTCTACCTTTATTATGTGTTGAGTGATACCTGCATGAAGTTGTGAGCTTTTTTTTTTTTCGCATAAATTTCATGAACTTGAAGATGGCCACAGTTATTTATATCCAAGCTTTGAAGTTGAGCTCGACCAAGACATCTTAAGCAAGTTATGGTGGTCCTCCTTGTATATCGTCCTGTTAAGTGGCGTCCATTACTGAATAGATGTCCGTGGTGCTAAAAATGCGTAGTAATGCATAAAGTCGGACTGGCCACAGTCTATTAGTCAATGAAAACCACAACCAAACTCGCTCCAACAATCATCCATTTGCGCAGCTTCGACGCAAATTAATCTTTGTCTTTTCGAGTTTCGAGTCTGTTCATGAGGAGGCATAAACTTCATGATAGCAAGGAATCGAACCCATTTACAAACGCTATATTTAACAACAAATTGTCATTCAGCTGGGATAACATTACCACTGTTTCTATGCTCGGTACGCTAAATATGAACTTCCTTGTCGTCATGGTGATAGGCATTAAATAGATCCTTATGCTCGTTGAGGCCTCACGAATCTCTAAGTACAACATGAAGAAAAGGAGTTGCAAGCGCAAAGCATTTGCCATAACAACTTTATAATTAAGTTAACATATGCTTCTGGAAACACCTCTGGACTCTATCATTTATTGTCTGCGGTCTTTTAATCGGGGTATAGTCGAACTAACAGCATTCGAAAAAGTGTGCTGATCGTAGCTACATTGCGGCAAAGGTGTTCATATTCAGGATCTCGGTGGCGTCTGATATAACCCATCAAAACAAAAGCCGCGCAATATTGAGGCTGATATGTGAAAAACTAAGAAACTTCTCTAGAAGTTTCACCAATGCTCGCTTCTTCACTCCCCTCGGTGCTACTTCGCTGTTAGGGTCTCAAATGCTGTATCGACTACAATAAAATTTGTTCGTCATCCAATAGTAAGTTGCTGACCACTAATATCATTAAATCTGCAGGGCAAGGCAATTTTGCGAATAGGATCCATTTTGACCTGCTAATCTAGAAACTGATATTCGTTTTGCATAATAAGATTCGTTTGTAAATTGTGGTAATGTATAGTATGGGCTCTCAAAAGACAATGTCTAGACAAGTTTGAGCACTGCAATGTATGCCATTGAAGGCTGTGTGACAACGATTACCCAGCCCGGTTTTCCACATCACTGAAGGTTGCAGTTCTGATTGTTTCCACCTCTACAAGATGCTTTAGTACATGTGAACCACATGGTCTTCGCTAAATCTTTCCTTGGCCTCGCTAAGGTCTTCTTTTTGTCGAATGCCCAGTCTTTATCACATGCTAATTGTGAGCGCGAAGATTTCCTTTTAAGCCTTTGCTGACTGAGTGTAGCGCTCTTTGACTAATTGTAAGAAATATCACTAATATCTAAAACTACATAGCAAAAGTCAGTAAACTTCCATCCTTACTGGATGAGAACAACAGATGCTATAGAGAAGGAGAAAGCTGAAGCGTTGGGACCATTTTTTGCCTCTATATTTGCAAGTGGTGGTGATAGTGACGAGAGCCTCGATTTACTTTGCTTCCATCTTCATCATTTCCACGAATCTCTACTAGACGCAGCGATTAGTAGCATATCCCAACCATCTCTTTGAGATTCCATCGAAGCTAAACCCATCGACAACTATTTCGTACAATGCGATCCCTCAGATTGTGTACAAAAAATGTGCTCGAGAACTCTGTTTTTCCCTATCTTGTGTATATAACGCATCTCGCTCAGTGGGTCTTCCTCAACTGTGGCAGGAAGCTCTTGTTACCCCAATTCCAAAACATTCATCTAGCAACAAAATGTCCGATTTTCGACCTATGTGCATTACTTCGCCTTGTGGTAAAATACTAGAGGAAGTTACCAACGAGAAGCTGAGTGATGGCTGCGGAAAAATCACATCATATTACGAGAACAGGATGGATATCTGCCTGGGGTGCACCACTGCTCCACTTTGCGACTCTGTTTTTGATTGGATGACAGCACTGAACCACCAGAAGTATGTAGACATCATTTACTTTGATTTGTCAAAAGCCTTCGACAGGGTCAATCACATAAATCTTTTGCTAAAACTAGAAAACAGATATTCGTAGTTAGCTGTTGAGTTGGCTGGGAACCTATCTCAGTAAACGTAAAATGACAGTGCGCGTCAAAAATATGTATTTGGAAAATTATTTGGGCAGCAATGGTGTTCCAGCAGGGAAGAATTCTCTCACCCCTCCTATTTTTACTTTACACAGCCGACCTACCTTCTTTCATCAAAATTTATGATTTATGATATATTTGCCTTTCATATTATTACAATATGCGGCACCCTAACAAACTGATCAATTCTTTTAACGTAGTGATCTTACTCTTTGCCAATTGCAAGTGCCAAGCTTTTTCTGAAACTCGTCTTTCCATCGGTTAGGGCCAGCATATCGAGTCGTGTTCTCTTCAGGGCTTCTTGCAGTTCATGTAGTTGGACTTCGTTTAGCAGGCGTCTCACGTTGAATATTCTGATGCGTAAACACTCGTTGTTGGGATGGAACATACTTGATCCTGCTGTTCCGGGGCTTCCTGGATCAAGGGGTTCGACGTCCGGTAGGGTGGGGAAGAGCGGTCAAAATGACCGACCAGTCGAGGAACGTGTAGAAGATGAACTCTACAAAAAAAAAACTAAAAAAAACTCTAAACTCTAAACTCCAAACTCTACGCTCTCATGAACTCTACTCTTTCATCAAGACCGACCCGAAAATCAACGTGCACATTTTCGCAGATGTCTCATGATCTACTCCTGTTATGGAAAGGAGGAAGGAGCAGAAGCCTACAACGCCCTTTCCTCGATGAAAGTGGGTTTGGTGGTCTGAGTTGTGGGATCTGCCTTTAATCTTTCGAAATGCTCCTTTATGCATTTAGGCGACTCCATACTTATCTCAGGTCATGTATAATTCATTCTTTGACCGCACGGACTGGACATCACTACGGAGCACGCGCCGCGAGGTAAAACGCTTGCCCCAATACAAATCCGCCATTGTACAAATCGTGCTCCCGCAACATTTTATCCGCGTCGCGTTGGTCCGCGGCGTTTGAGCAGTCCGTGCGGTCAACGAATCAACGTATATAACTGTGGTAGTTTGGAGCTTGTGAAGGATCTGGGCGTTTTTGTGGGTGCGTGGCGTTAGGTACCCAGCCGAGGTGCGGGCGTTAGGTACCCAGCCATTAGTGGTACTAAGCCACGCCCCTTGGCTGCTTTAACAGCGGGTACCTAACGATACAACAAATCCTAGCTGCTAGAACAGCCCACCTAGCTCGCTGAAGCGCTGGAGCTTGCGACCCACATGAAAAAGATAGTTCGAGAGAATCAAAAATTGCGCGAATGAAAGCGCAAGTTTACAACGCTTTTTCTATTGCTTTTCTTAAAATCAGTTTTAGAACCTTAGAAATTCGGTGATGAAAGCTAAAAACAGGGTAAGGCTTTTATGAGCAGTTCACATAGTTTTGCAAAAAAATTGTGATAATCTGAACCGATAATGTCAGAGGTAATCTTATCAAAGTAAACCTTGTAGAATACTAATAAATCAAAATTTTATGACTTTAATGAAGAGAGGCGCACTTTGATGCGCCCTTGGCAAATGTTAAACGGAATATTCCTTTCACATATTGTCATAGGCTCGTTTTGAGGCGTGAAGTCAAGGGTCGTACACTTGCGTTAATATTGCCACAGGAATTGTGAACATGTCAACGTATATTATTAAAGTTATTATTTCGGTTATAGTTAAGACCAACAGATTTATGGGGCATTGATAAGCACACATTTTTCTTTATTTTGGAAGATTTCTTGTGTGAAAATTTCATTGAGCTACTGTATTTCATCATGCCTACGTTCTCTATAATGCTTTTTTGGAGGCCTCCATATTGCAATTGTTTCATATTCATTTTCTTTTCTAGCAGCCAAAATATGCTC